TCCTGCACTTGGGTTGCAGCAACTCCATGCAGTGCTACAGGCTGCTACAAGAGTGGTTTGAGAGCTGCTCATCAGAAAGGGACTTGGGGGATGTTGGTTGACAGCTGGCTTGATATGAGCCAGCAGTGTGCCCAGGTGGCCAAGAAGGCCAATGGCATCCTGGCCTGTATCAGAAATAGCATGGCCAGCAGGACTGGAGAAGTGATTGTCCCTCCGTACTTGGCAATAGTGAGGCTGTACCTCAAGTACTGTGTCCAGTTCTGAGCCCCTCACTCCAAAACAACCATTGAGGTGCTGAAGCATGTCCAGAGAAGGGTAATGGAACTGGTGAAGGGTCTAGCAAATACGCCCTATGTGGAGCAGCTGAGAGAGCTGGGGTTGTTCAGTCTGGAGAAAAGGAGGTTTGGGGGGAGCTTCTCACTCTCTACAACTACCTGAAAAGTTGTAGGGAGGTGGGGGTCAGTCTCTTCTGCTGTGTCTCAAGTAAAAGGACAAGAGGAAATTGCACCAGGGGAGGTCCAGATTAGATATTAGAACACATTTTTTCACTATAAGAGTGGTTAGACATTGCAGTAAGTTGCCCAGGGAGGTGGTGGAGTCACTGTCTCTAGAAGTGCTCAAGAGGCGACTGGATGTGGCACTTGGGGATACAGTTTAGGGGTGATTATGGTGGCATTGGGTTGATGGTTGGACTAGATGATCTTGAAAGTCTCTTACAATCTTGACGATACTGTGAATTTACTGTCTTTCACTTTAAAACTGTTACTCTTTTTCCAGTCACTACAGGTCCTGGTAAAAAATCTTTCTTACTAGCTTCCTTTAAGTATTGAAAGGCAACATTAAGGTCTTCCTGGAGTCTTCTTTCTGTAGGCTGAACAACCCCAACTCTCTCAGCCTTTCTGTGTAGAAGAGTTGCTCCAACTCTTTGATCATTTCTGTGCCCCTCCTTTGGACCTGCTCTAACGGCTTAGATACTCTTTACTATAAATTCCAGCTCCACCTCCAGGACATCTGCATTTCACATTCCATCTTGTTTTTGACTTGAGTCTGGGTCAGAAATTTTTACTCTCTGGGGACCAGGCTGAACAGTGCAGGCATGCTCCACACTGATATATATATATATGGTGTATGCCTGTTCCCTTCCACCCCTCCTCCACTCCTGCAGTGGCACTGCACCTGCACAGGCCTGACACTTTTTAGTCAGCTTTGGCTCAGATTTGTAAGGCCAGCAGCAGGTTCATATCATAGTCATCACCCGAACAAGAATACGACATCATAAATGGCAGCTTTGTTGTTTCCTGCTTTTTGTCTGCAGCACAATAAGCAAGGACAAGTGATGGGCACGAGGCACCCCAGCTTGCTTTCTGAGCTCTGCCTGGGCAAATCAGACAGAAGTGTATCCTTCCAGAAAGCAAATTATTTGGGAGGGTAGAGGGAAGAGACATTATTTTATTAATAATTTTTTACAGACCTTTTCCCTCCGGAAGTCCTTTTGTGCTATCTAAGGGCAAGGTCTAAGAGTGTTTAACTTAAAAGATCTGGTATGGAGATTTTGATCATAAAGACTTAATTAAATGAGGTGTTTGGGGAGTTTAATATTACATCTTTGCTGATGACTGGCTGATTGTTTTACTTGCCTTTGATCAACTGTGTGAGTGGAGGGTCATCCCAATCACTACGGGCCTACAGTATCCGTCATCACCCCTCAGTCCTATTTGTCTTGCGTGTGTATGCAGAAGGCCTGCTTTTGATGAACTGTGAAAAGAAAGATGAACTGTTGTAATGAAAACATTCCCTCCCCAAGATCCTCTTTAGACAACATTCAATTGCTTTGACCTTGTCCCCTCTTGTGGAGGACGGTAATGATTCCTGCAGATGGCTGGGTCATTCCTTGGACACTTGGGAGCAAGGGAGCTGGATTCTCCATCTGTGTTAGCTCTACAGCTATGCAGGCTGCAGCTGGGAAATGCAAGAGCAGGATGGGTAGAGCAGCATGGGCAGACATACCTCAGGTAGCTGACATCTTGCCGCCTGAAATCCTCATAGACATTCTGGTATGGCTATTTATACTTGAGGGACCTCACCTAGGCTTGTTTTGCTCATGGCACATGCATGAACCAGCTAGACAGAGAGAGATGGATCCCTTAGGCCTGCAGTTTCCTCTCTGAGGCAAAGGCATGGCCTGAGGCAAGACATTCAAGATGCCAGCTTGGCTTCATTGCCCTGTTGAAATATTTGCAGGGTGGCAAATATTAGTAAATGGTCTGTTAGCTGAGCTAGTGGCCTCCTCCTCAAACCCTTCTTGCTCCCGGAGAGGCAGCCTTCTCTGATTACATCACATTTAGAATAGTGACATAAAAGCTGATGATGAGCACAGCCTTCATGTTCATCCTCACACTTTCAGGGAAATGACATCCCTGGACCAGCCCCTGGGAGATGTGCCTGTCCCTCTGTCAGCTAAAAAGAGGACTGTGTTGGAAATGTTTACCCATTTGTCTCTAGGGTGGGAAAACAGAAAGACTTTCCAGTACTTTTACGCTTAGTAAGAGACAGTAGAAAGAAACAGCTCTGTGTATTAGAAGGATTGAACAATATTTGGAAACTAAACTGGTACCTTCATAGTCAGAGGCATTAAAAGGCACATGAACTCTTGTACGAACACTTAGTAATGGCCTGTGCACGGTCTGAAAAGTTGGCAAGCATAAGCAAGGAAGGGAAAGGACGAATAGGGAAAAGAGAGCACACCAGAGTGATGGGACTTGTCTGATGTCACACACCCAGTCCTCAAAACCAGACACCAAACAATCCCAGTTGGTGTCCTATTTGTGAGACCACTGAGTCTACTCTGGTGGCCCTTGAAATACTTGACTTTAGAAGTGGTCAGTCTCCTCTTCTGCCTGAATAGTCTGAGGATGTCACGACACATCAAGTTCTCACAGCCTCATAAACTGGTCCACAGTCAAACCCACTTTAAGGCAGTTTACCTTTTTTAAAGTGCACTTATCCCATCCTTCTGTGGCTGCTCCAAAAGGAGTTGCAGTTACTTTATTGACATAAATCTTGCCTGTGAAAATATGCACAAATAAATTGTATGCCTGCTGGACTAATCTTTCTGGTTTCCTCATACTTCCTCCATTTCAAGAGTTTCACGAAGATGCACTCATTGTGTGCCTCACAGTTATAAGACACTTGAGCGCAGGCCAGATATTGACCATTCTTGCTTTGTCATGCTTCAGTGAAGCAAAAATGCCACCCTTTCTCTAGGAAGTAACACTGATACCAGCATCTTGGTACCTACAATAAGAAGCTTTTTGCCAGATGCTGCTATCTGCAGCTCAGAGTGGTAAGGGTGGGATTTTCTGTCTACCTCTGCAGCACAGGATTATGTAGGTATGACTCATTTAATCAGTTTAATCATGTTTCCTTCCATTTGGGGTGCCTCAGATATTACTGCCTGGGCTGGCCTCGCTTTCTATTGACCTCTGCCAGAGGCACATGACAATTTAGTCTCCTGGAAGACTGCAGCCCTGTCATTTACATAAAGTCAAGGGCTCTTGGGGTATTCCAGTTTGACTGGTCCCAGTGTGATATGACAGCAGCCAGAGTGCTTTATTCTTGTAGCAGCCCCATGGCTTGCTTCATAGTGCATTAAGCGCTACAATCTTCCATAACTGTACTGGCTGAAGAGTGCTTCCTGCTGACTTGTGCAGATTTAGCTACATTCATTCAAGCAGAATTCCTCAGCAACCTTAAAAGTTGTTGTTTAGTCTCAGCAAGATCTGCAGTACTAGGTGTGCAGCTGGCAGGAGTGGCACTCAAGGAAAGATCTGGCTTGGGATTCCCCTGCAGGATTTTCTCCAGATAAAGAACCCTACCCAAACACCATTGTATAAGAGAAGAGGAGGTCCCTCCATCTGGCATCTGAAGCAGTGCAGTGAGGCTAAAACCCCGAGTTAGATTCATGAGACAGCTGTGTGGGTCACAGCAGTTTGTGGTGCATGTGGCAACAGGCACTGGGAGATTACTTGCTCCAGTAACTTGGGCTGGGTGTTCAGGACCCAAAGTAAATACACGAGCCACAGCACTGTACAAAAGCTTAATACCCTTTATTCATAAAACACTTTTCATTCAGTGGCATTTTAAAGCATTAGTACATCCTGTATACATGGAGCAGAGAGCGACGCTGAACTCAGTAACCTTTGCCCCAAGCAGCAGTAGGAAGAAAAACCAGGAGTTCATAGACAGCCTGCACCCCACTTGCATCAGATGCACCCTGCTCTGACCCTGTCCCTATCCCATGTGAATGGCTCCTGGCCATCTGGGATCCAGGTGATCTGTGCTCCCTGAGACAACTTGGGCACACAATGTGACTTGCAGTCACATCAGCTGCATTTATGAGCTAACACATAGGAAGTAGGTGTCTGAGTCTCACTTGGAGGAATAACCCCAACTATAAAAATAAGTGAATGCTTTGGCACCCCATCAAAGATCCCTCCAGATACACAACTGCAAAAAAACCTTAACGCTGATTGTGATCACCAAAATTATTTTACTTATTTCATTAGATAACACATGAAGGTTGCAATCCTGCTGCCTAGGGCACACACCTGTATGTCCTGCTAAGTATTTCTAAAGCATCTGATGGCATTGTTAGTCCAGCCCTGACTTGGTGCCAGCATTAGACCAGTCAGAAGGACTGCTTTCTCCTCCCTTGGTGCATGTCAGCAGATATGTTCAGGAGACACACGCACATCCCAAGTATTGGGCTACTGACTGATGGATTTAAAAATCTAAGCAACTAGCAAATCCATGGAAAAACAAGCACTTTTGAAAGCTATGAAAATTCAAAGGCATTGCTGACCTTCAAAGCTTTGCAGACTAAAGAGAAAAATATCCATCCATTTCTAGATTTTTGTGAAATTAGAAATTGAATGCCTCTGCACTCCCAGACGAATGTTAAATCTTGCACCTCATCAGCATCTATTATTATTCCTACTTAGAAATGGGTCTGTTGCAAATGAAGTGGAAGGTCGAAGGAGCTTGCTGGCCCTTGGCTGATGTGTGCATCTCAAATTTAAATTCCAGAAGAGTCACAGAAGAGGACAAAAGGACGAAGAAGTGCAACAGAAAGGCACTGAACTCACAAACAGGGGAGAGTTGCTCTCTGTGGGTATGTCTGAAATGTCTTCTAATTCTAAATTAGCCAATGGTACTTGTGTTGGCTTAGCTGCATGGGAGATTTCTGCCCACCAGTCCCTGGCTTGTTGCAGTGAAGATGAGTTCCAACCTCTCCGGAGAGCAGCATCATGGGTGGCCACAACCTGGGGATCCCTAGGCCACCACTGCCTAGGGCACCCCTCCGGGCAAACACCAGTTGCATAATGTTCACTCATTAAAAATGGACAGGATTACAGAACAGGAAGGGATAAAAATACAGGCCCAATGAATCTGCTGAAAAAAGGCAGCTTCTTTGTCGGGTCTTAAGGCACCCTGCTTGCCTCATGGTGTTTATATCTGCGAGGGCATGTGCACCATTGTTTTACACAGGCCTAATATATGCATGGCAGTGTGCCCTTGGCTTTTTCTTTTTATTTAATCTTTGACTTGACAGTGTTGGAACTTGCTTCCCTGTGAAACCAGAGGAGAGATTGTTGTGTGCTTCAGGTTTTGCTTTTGTTCTGTTTCTATTCCTTTTATTGAGTTACATAAAGAAACTGAGCAACTCCTGCCTGCTCCTAAGTGTTTGGGTGTCTGTCTGACTCTATTTGCTGGGGCACCAAGGTGTACCTCAGTGCAAGGCCACCACACTGGCCACCACTGGAGGTATGATTTAGGACATTGCCAAGGGCAGCTGGTCCAGCAGGGAGCCTTAATTTTACATCAGCTGAAACCTGCCCTTCATGCTTGTTTGCATCTGTAACTCCCTGTGGTGTTTTGGGGATATTCTTCTGGACAATCTGAAGATGGACAACTCCCCCAAATGGCTTCCTCCATCAGACAACAGTCTGTAAAACCAGATGGTGGCCTGGTCACAAAACACTCACCAGCGAATTAAGAATCAGCTCTGCATCCATTGCAGAAATCATAAAAAACAGAGTTGGAAGAAACTTTTAAAGGTTATCTTGTCCTTCTACCAGCCTCCAGATAGGATCAACTGTGCTGAAGGTGATGAGATAGTTATCTCAACTGCTGCCAAAGCCTTCCCAAAAGACCACTTGCATACAGCAAAACACCCAGTGGTGCACAAGTCTCACAATTGGAAAATTACTTTTAATGTCTCACCTGAATTCCCTTTGTTGCACTGTGAGCCTGCTACTTCCTTTCCTGTCCCCAGCAGACATGAAGAACAGCTTATCCTTCCTCCTTGCAGTAGCCTTTCACATACTTGAAGGGTGTTACCACATCTACCCATCTTCAATTCCCTAGACTAAACAAACCCAACTCTCCATCTTTCCTCGTAGCTCATGTTTTCTAGCCCTCTTGTTGCTGCCTGCTGGACTCTCTCCAGTTGGTCAACATTATTCTGGAAGCTTGATGCTCACACATGTATGTAGATAGATTCAACAGGTTACTTCAGGCCAAAGGACAAGAGGGGAGCAGTTTCAAAGTTGGGAGATCCTGGCAGCCAATGACCTAGTCACTCCAGCTGTGGAACCTCTGCAAAATCTGGCTCTGAGTCAGACTGGCAGTCTCACAGAGAAGCAGCAGATTCATAGATGGATATCAGCACCTCAGATTCATCCTGGAGCCTAATGGGCAGCTGTAGAAATAAATAATAAAAAAACAAAAACAAAACACCCCAAACCCCCAACCAAATAAATAAAACCAAACCAACCAAACAAACAAAACAACCCCCCCCCAAAAAAACAAACTTAAAATCAAGCAAAAAATACCACTAGAACTGGCATAGTGCACTCATCACATGATATTCTTTGTGATAAATATGCTGTTAAAATTATTTCTGCTTCAGTTTGTGGATAGATTTATGATGAGTTGTTCTGAAGAGCATGTGAAGAACAAAACAACCTCTAACAGTCTGTTAGCAATGTAATCAGGGGCAAATGACATTGTCCTGTTGTCACAGAAAAAGAAATTCTTCCTTTTCATGTCCCAAGGCTTATTGTCCAGGTGAGGGAATATGCTAGTATGTCCATACTGCCTTTGCAAAAAGCCCAGACTAAAGCCCAGACTAGTCTGTACAATGAGCACAATATAAAACCTGAGGGGAGGTGAGTCATTTCTTGAAATCATGGCATATTATACTTCAAGCAGAGAAGACACTGACACAGTTTTTCTGCTTCTGATCCTGCCATTACCTCTGTGGCTAGCATTGGGATCATTGCAATGTGTTTCATGGCATGGTGTGGACGTGCCCCCAGGAGCTCGTTGGGTTTGTGGGAAAGGTTCTCACTCCTAGAGTTATTTTTCAAGGCAACAAGGTTTCTGTCTGGTTTCATTGTCGTGTTGCAAACTTTTTTCCCCTGGAAATTGCTCTTTCCAAACTCTAAACTTAACATCCCTCAAAGATCTTGCCCTTTGTGAGCCAAAATCCTTAGCTTCCGTCAAGTGAAGACAATGGAAAGACGTGTTAGAACAGCCACACTGATACACCTTAGGCAAGGCTCAGCTCCACTCTTTTCTGGGGAACTGCTCAAATACATATTGGCTAGGATTTGAGCCAAGATTTTGCAGTAATATTTGCCAAATTTAATCACAACCGCCCAGATTTGACACTGCCTTAATCCCATTGAATTGTTCCTTAGTCTGCAGCAAGCGCCTCCGGTTTCAATTAGACCATCATGGTTATGGGCACTTTTAAATAAGAAGGGATCAAAACCTGATTCTGGAAATCTGCTTGTAAAAACCATTAATCCAAACCAAGGTTGCATTTCACTTGTCCAGTCCACAGCATATTATAAAAAGGAAAGATTTAAATAAACCCTCTGTTGGAACTGTATTGGACCATTGTAGCAAAAGATTGTGAAGACCAAACTTCCTTGAAAGAGGAGTGTGGACCGGCTCTTTGCAAAAAAATCTCCCTAAAAAGCTCCCTCTTTAAATGAAAGAGAGATCAAACTAGAAAAAAAGCGATACCTACCTCAGGAGGCAGGCTTGCCTTCTGAGTGCCAGATAATAATAAATTATGTGTTTGTAATCCACAGCAGAGATGCAATGGCATTTTCTTTGACACCAAATGCTAAAGAGGGAGCAAATAGCTCTGTAAAGTGCTTTTTCCAATGCAGGGTGAAAGATCTTTCACGAGCAAGAGGATGATCTCTGGGAAAGATTGCTAGTATCGTTTTATTCCATATTAGCATGAAGAATCCAACTGTGTTTATGTACCTAATACCAAATAATTTCAGGAAGAAAAGAGATTCAACTGCAGTTTAGGTGAGTCTATAAAAAAGAAATACACAGGAAGGGTGAGAAACTGAATCTGAAAAAGCTTGGAATCAAGGGAGAACTATACCTTTTTGCATCAATTCAGCTGGAAAACTCCTTTAAAATGTAAGGAAAAATAGGGGTAATCCCACATGCTTCTAGAGGGCAGTCCCACTGGTATTTGAAGAGCACTCTAAGCAGCAACAGCACAGGTTGGTTAGGGGAAATCAGGATCCTTGCACATTCAGCAGAAGTAAATGAACTCCAGGAGGACAGAACTGACTTTGTTATAATTTGATCAGATCACTTCTATATCACTCCTCCACAAATACGAAATGCCATCCAGCATGACCTTCCCTTCAACTAAATAGTCTGTACCTCACCAAAAGATTAAAAGGCGGGCTTAAACTTACACCAGGACATTTTAATTCTCTGTATTAATGCCACCTTTAAAAAAGAGCAGCGGGTTTTATTTCCTGGTTATTTCCTGAGGCCACATGTTGGCTCAGCAATTCTGGGTTTCACTGAAACACCTGCTCTTTGCAGGCTCCACAGACCAAAGGACAAGTTAATTAGGTAACTTACCCAAAGGTCACATGGTGAGTAAAGTAGGATTAGCACTCAAGTTCCTCCTGGCAACTAGTCCTGTGCTACGACAATTAGAAAAGGTTAACCATCCTCTTTTAGCTTTTGTTTTCCATCTTCCAGAATGGGGCAGCACGTATGCTGTGCTACATTGCCTCTGCAGTATTTTGGAAAAAAACACACAAAACAAACAAAGAACTTACCCCAAAAAGGGCTTTGAAAATCGCCATATCTGGTGGTGCTTGAGAGGGAACGGAGCAAAACAGTGGATTAAGCTAAGCACACTGAATATGAATTCTGGAAAATGCCCCACTCCCTTGCTAATCCCCACACACAGACCTTGCGTGCCCGCTGCTCTGTGACACAGTCATGCTGCCGCCTGCCTTCTGCTCAGAAGGTGCCCTGGCTCCCCTTGTCCCTCTCTCCTGCAGGCAGATGAGACAAGGCAAATATTAGTAAAGGGTCTGCTAGCTGAGTTATGGATCTCCTGCTTTAACTCCTGCTTGCCTGAGATCTCTTGCCCGAGTCCCCTGTGCCAGCACAGCCAGGTCAAGCCTGTCATTTGGCCTAAACCTGTGCAGAAACCAGCTGCATAGGAGCCATTTGCCACGTTGCACAGTGCTGTGCAGGTCTGTGTACCTAGTGCCATTTTGCTCCTCAGCTGGACTGGTCTGTCCATGCCATGCTTCAGCAGACATGCCTGGGAGAACAGGTGAGCAGTTTTCCATGCATGCTGGTCTTCATCCACAGCCCACTGTTCTCTTCTCCAGCCTATACTCACCCTGCCTTGTCTACTCTGGTGGCTTGCAGGTTGCGAAGAAGAAACGATGCTACAAAGGAGCACAGGTCTCTGTCTCTTCCCACCCTGGGGGGAGCTTGTGCTATCCTGGGCTGACGAGCACCCCTTAACTCAGCTTGGATCTGCATGGGTCAACACCTGATCTCCCCCAAAATGACTGATCCCTCGCTGCCCGAGTGCTGCAGGACAGATAGGTTTTCGTCTTGATTTGGAGGCAGCTGTGAAGAGACAAAGTGCTGGTCTTCCTTCTTTGGAGGAGTTTTGTGCTACTTTTGGCAGGAAAGCAAAAGTAAGCTAAAGGACTTCTGATTATGCCAGGGCACGGTCCCTCCAACCCCACCTTGGCAGAATCTAGACAAAAATGCATCACAAAGATGTTCTTGAGGTGATAGTTTGGGACCACTGGCTGTGGCCTATCCTCCTCCAGCACCGCAAAAAGAGCAAATACAAATGTGTCTTCTCTTGGAGAGTAGCGACGGATTTTGGCTTTGGCTGGGGATGAGGTGTGTGT